TGCTAAGGTTTTAACACTTTTTGTATCTTTCTCGGTTTTCGTACATTTTTGAGAGATAATTATTATACATCTTATTTAATAGTAAACATATATAGTTTCAAAGAGTTGCAGTTTTATGAAATTCAGATCCGAAAGACTCTCTTATATTGAGACTTCAGCAATTTGTATCATGGTCTGACCAACCGTCTATTTTCACTGTTGCGATCAAGCCATTAATTATTGTAATTTAATTTTTTTCATTTAGGAATGGTTGAAACATTACGTTTCCTTTATGAAAAAATTAAAAGCCACTTTTTCCCTTCAGATAGTGTAAGGGAATCAACGATTCGCCCTTCCTCACAGAATATTTTTCTTATTTCTCGGAACGTGTAAACGTCAGATATTGCTATTTTGATCATTAGTTTGAAGGATTAACACGTTAAACGCTCCAGTAAAAATGCCCCTGAATATAACATACTATAATTGTAGTTATTTAGATTACGATCGTTCCATTCGTCAATTTAACGAGTTACTGCTACGTTGAAGCCGTTAAAAGATTCATTAAACATATAAAGTACCTTATAAAGTATCTAATGACATGAGTACACACCTGGTACCAGTATTTCTAGTTGGGCAAGTTAAAGAAGTTCAATTAATATTCAAGTGGCAATTTGTGACGAGATATTCAACCTGTTAAACGTTTCAGGAATGGATAATATTTATCAATTAATGATTACAATTTAAATATTTCATTACTCGTCATGATTAAATGTTACATCGTCAATCGATACGTCATCATAATCAACTGTTACATCGTTCTTTGATCAATAATTGTAGTTAACACGTCCTTCAGAAGTTTTGACAGGAAGAATTTCTTTTGCTGAAGATGCAAGAAATGATTTTATAGTTCCAACTAGTGATACATTATATTACACTCTTTTTCATAAGGAGGTTGCAAATGGGTAAAAAATTGTGAGTAGCGTTACAGGTAACACCCTGTATAATTATTATGTATAATATATTTTATACGACTCTTTTACAATTAAACGTTAAAGTCATAAAAATTCCCACAATGGCTATAAACGGTGCCTCCTTCGAATTCATGATCAGCAGGAAACAGTTGTCCGCGTGTTCAATTATGCAATAAATAAAAGAACAAAGGAGAAAAAGGGCGTGAACGGTTAGGAGCTTGAGGTTTTCCGTATTCGATGTTTCTTGCTCGTTCAAGCCAAGGAGGCAAAAATATAGGAGGGAAAGGAAAATAGAGGAGAGGATGCGGTATACTGACGCTAAATTGAATTTTTTTCAATTCATTCCACTTGCCGCGAGCGAGACGCTCAAACTCGATGAGTATCTGTGCGCGACAGCGGCACCTATTCGCAGCAAATTCTCATTATTTTTAAATTGGAAATGAGAAGTGCACGCGGCGGGTGTGGTTGAAAGCACCTTTGCCGCCACGGGAAAAAAAAGGAAAGATAGGAGAGAGCAGCAGTGTATTATTCCAGACTGATGCCTATTCTAACGGCGGAAGAGTCGGCGAATTTCATTTAATTACCCATCTATGCCCAATAACAACCTATTGTTCGCTATACAAACACGTATTTGTTAGATTATGTTACGTTGATATAAAAGTAATTGCGGTTTTCGTGCATAAATTTGCAGGTAGTATGTCCGAGATTAGAATCAAATTAAGGACTATTAACATCTAGTTATTTTACTATCTTGAATGTAGCTGTAATAAAGAACCATGGTAATTGCTAGCTGAAATATGTTTAAGGAAATTGGATAATAAAGTATAAAAAGTTTATGGTCCTAAGAGGTAATTAAATCAATTAACACATTACCACCTATCAAATTATGAGTTGAAATATGTGCGTTCCATGAAACAGTGGCTATCAATGTTTTTCATCTTGAGGCACTCGAAGTTACGAAAATTCATACACTAAAAATAAAATACATTATTATTATAAAATTCTAAACATTATACTTTTCCTTTGAAATAACAAATGAGGTAAGTAATTTTAATTAGGAAAGATTTTGCAAATGCTGAATCATATTATAACATGGAAACAAGTCCGTGAGTTACGCTGAGACGTTACATGTATACTCGAAAACAAGGCAGAAAAATATTATATATGTACCCTTGCAATGATAGTACACTAAAACCCTTATCAAGAAACACTTTTTAAGGGATACATAAAAACTTATTACGCCATCACTGTTGGTGCTTCGACTGCTTTTTCTTTAATTACTTTCTTTGCAAAAATTTACTGCGCATGTTTATCTCTTATGATTTAGGACTGCACAGAGAGTCAAGGGTAACTCATTAATTCCCTGTGCACAGCATCGGCCATCCACAAGTTAGTAATTAAATGATAAACAATAAGTTCAATTAAGTTACGCACTGTATGGAAAGTGGTGAAAATAAAGAAAAATTTATCAACAATAATTGTGTATTTATTGTTACCTAACAAACCCAACAGAATAAAAATATACATTTTCGAAAGAGAGAATTTGTATCAAAAGAACGTAAAATATTCTGGAATTTGACGTCACGCGCCTCGCGACTTCTTGGAAATAACGTGAAGAAAATTCCAAGAAGTGGCACGAAGGATACCTCCTCACAACTCATGTTCTCCTAATACAAATTTTCGGCATTGGTCGGTGGAATTGCGAAAATCGCGCCCGCGAATTCCTGGAATTTGACGTCAGCAAAATTCCAGGAAGTGGCACGAAGGATACCTCCTCACAACT